TTGCGACCAGCCCGTGCTACCCGTTTCTCGGGTAGCTAGGGGAGGACCTATTTATCTCCCATTGCCTTCCTTTTATGTAAACCTCCCTTTGGTGTACCATTCTGTCCCTTGTGTTTTCCTCACTTCCTCGTTCCTTTGTTTTTTTCCGCCGCACAGCTTATCATTGAACTGATATAACTTGTTTAACAAATGCCCCATCAGTTGGATTTAGTTCAGCTCAATCCTTGGTTATTATAATGCCACAGTTAATCATCTTGTTTCTATGGCACTTTGCACACATGTAGGATGAGTGCGAGAAGAGAAGGTGTGGAGTCATAGGCAATATACGTTATAATTTTGATTAATACTACCACATTGCCCCCCAGGACCTTATACCGGTTTCCAGCCCCCATCCCTCACCCCCAGCTGTGGCACGAGGAGAACCTCTGACTTCACACCACCCACCGCCTTCCGAGCTTGGCCGCCTGAAAGGTGAAGAGATGATCTCACTGCCATTTTAAGGGATGGTCCAGTCTTGACAAACAACAGAACATAGCACATCTGCTACTTTTGCCCTTGTGGTGATGACCACAGGGTGCTTCCAACCTTTTGGAGTGGCAGAGGAATTTGAGTTGGGGTTTTTTTGTTTTTTGTTTTCATGATTTTATTTATTTCTCAGAGGGAGAAAGAGAGAGAAAGCACAAGCAGGGGAAAGTGGCAGGCAGAGGGAGAGGGAGAAGCAGATTCCCTGCTGAGCAAAGAGCCTGATGCAGGACTTGATCCCAGGACCTTAGATCATGACCTGAGCCGAAGGCAGATGCTTAACCCACTGAGCCACCCAGGTGTCCCTTAGCGTTGGTTTTTGCTCACACTTTGTGACTGCTTGCTGGAATGAATAGTAGTTAAAATTTTGATGGACATTGGGGAGGGTATGTGCTATGGTGAGTGCTGTGAAGTGTGTAAGCCTGATGATTCACAGACCTGTACCCCTGGGGCTAATTATACATTATATGTTAATTTTTAAAAAAGCAGATATTACACTGGTAATCTGATAACGGCTAAATGAATCTTTAGAGATGGTGAGCTCCTTAGTTTACTGATGCTGTAACAGCCGCTGTAGTCTTATTGCAGACAGACAGGACTTCAGATCAAAGGTGCATAGGAACTTGAGCGAGGTCAGCAGTACTATCTCTGGTGACCTCGTCCTGAGTCGGTCCTTACTGGCTCTGGGCCCCGTAGAGCTCTGCTGCCTTTCACCCCATTCCTGAGACACAGGAGTAAGCATTTGGAAAAGCTGATGCCTAGGCCAAGGCTCAAGAGTTGGAAGGGGGCCTTTTGGAGATCCTCAAGACCAGTTTTGTTTCCTCTGCTGGGAAGTCATGGAGGACTTGCCTTGAACAAAGGGATATGATGGGGATCAGGTATGGTTGCCAGAAAAGGAAGTTGGGTCTATGGACTTGATATAAAATAGAGGCCTGGGTGTATATGGGGCATGGGACACAGGGATGGGGAGGGGTTCTAGAAAAGTATGCTAACAGAGGTTTAAGGTAAATTTATTTGTAAACATAATGTGGTCTGCCCCTCTAGGAAGAGGCAGAGGAAAACATACCGTCACTTGACAGTGCGTGCAAACAGGACTCAGCCTCTCCGTCCACGCAGAGCCCCTGGAGGCACACCCAGCCTGTGTTACTAAAGGCTGACCCTGGAGCAGAGCCCCGCTGCCCCTGCCCGGCAGATCCTCCCGGCCTGAACTCCCTCAGGCCTCAGGAGGGGCTTCCACCACTTGAGATCGTAGAGTATACCAAGTCCTAGACGTCACACACCATGTTAGGGGGCCAGTTCAGGTCACACCAGATGCGGTTTTTAGAGATTTCTGGTTGAACAAGAGAGCAGTGACCACATGCGTGTGCTCATACACAGGCTGGAATGTGCAGCCTGCTCTTCCTCTCCCTGGTGCCTCGGGACCTCAGACCACCGAGGTCGGCACCTCGCCTCTCCCCTCTCTCCTGACTCTGTAGCCCGGGTTCCTTTGTCTTCCACTGGCTGTGTTGAGACATACTTCTTATGACATATAAGTCACCTGTTTCAAGTATGTCCCTAGAGTTGCGTTGCCATCACCACTGTCAATTTTTTTGCTTTTAGATTTTATTCATTTATTTGAGAGAGAGAGAGAGAACATGAGAGGGGAGAACGTCAGAGGGAGAAGCAGACTCCCTGTGGAGCTGGGAGCCCGATGCAGGACTGGATCCCAGGACCTTGGGATCATGATCCAAGCCAGAGGCAGACTCTTAACCAACTGAGCCACACGGGCGCCCCAAGCATAATGTTTCCAAGATTCATCCATGTTGTAGCGTGGGTCAGTACCTCATCCTTTACGTGGATATACTGCATTTTGTTTGCCCTTTTGTCCCTTGCTGGATTGCTGGGTTTCCACTCTTTGGCTGTCAGGCATAATGCTGCTGTGATGTTTTGTGCAAGCTTTTGTGTGGCCCCATGTTTTTATTTCCCTTAGGTATACACTGAGAGTGGAACTGCTGGGTCATGTAGCTCTGTTTAACTTTGTGAGGAACTGCCAAACTGTTTCTCAAAGTGGCAGCGCCGTTTCACATTCGCACCAGCAATGTGTATGGTTCCGAGTTCTCCTCAACCGTTGCTGTTATCTTCCTGATTGGGTGCGAAGTGGCTCCTCGTTATGGTTTTGATTTGCATTTCCTGATGACTGATGATGTTGAGCATCTTTTTATGTGCTTGTAGGACTTCTGTAGCTCTCCTTTGGAAAGGGGCCGACTCACGTCCTTCCGCCCCCACCCTTTTTTTTAAGAGAGGGACTGCGCATGCGCATGCGGGCAGGGGAGGAGCAGAGGTGGCAGAAAGAGAGAGAGAGACTCTTATGCAGGCTCCATGCTCAGCCCAGAGCCTGACACAGGGCTTAATTTCGTGACCTGAATCGAAACCAAGAGTCTGACACTTAACCGACTGAGCCTCCCAGGTGCCCCTCTTTGCCCATTTTTAAATTGGGTTCTCTTTTTATTATTGAAGAATTTTAAAAATATATTTTAGATATGGGCCCTTTATCAAATATAGGGTTTATAACTGTTTTCTCTCACTCTGTGGGTTGTCTTTTCACTTTTTGATGGTCTCACTGGTAGCCCCAAAGTGCTTAACTTCCCTGACATCCAGTTTACCTCTTTTCGTTGTTTCTGCTTGTGCTTTTGGGATAGCATCTAAGACTTTGCCTAACCCAAGGTCACACATATTTGCCCCTATATTTTCTTTTAAGGATTTTATAGTTTTAAATCTTACATGTAGGTCTGTGATCCATTGTGAGTTAGTTTTTGTGTATGGTGTAAGGAAAGGGGGTCGATTTCATCTTTTTGCCTGTGAATATCCTAGCTGTCCCACCCTTTGCTGAAGACTCTTCTTTGCCCATGAATTTTCTTGGCGCCCTTGTTGAAAATCAATGGACTATAAATGTTGGATTTGCTTGGGGGCTCTTAGTTCTGTCCCATTGAATTGTAGGTTTATTCTCACACCAGTGCCTTGCTGTCTTAAAACTCTAGCTTTGTAGTCTCATGTTTTAATGGGAAAGTTAGGGCAGGAATGGGCAATCTAGACTTTTCTTTTTCCTTCCCTGGTCTGACCAGTTATCGGATTCTTCGGATTCTTCCTCAGGCTTTCAACCACACTTTATTTCTCCTTGTTCGTCTTGCTGGTTTCGGTAGGAAAGGACACCCTAGTGGTCCCGAGAAGCCCTAGGGGTCAGGCACTTGAGTTTTCTCCTTCGGGATACCAGCTGTTTTCTGACCCAGTGGTTTGACTGTGATGGGTGTTCCTAGATGTATAGAATTAAACATTTGCATTCGAAAAGATGCTCTGTTTTCTGAAATTTTCTAACTGGTGAAGTTTGGGATAATACAGTTTATTGTACTGTCAAGAGATTTAAAGATCTTTCTGGAAGGCTATGCAAGCAAACAAGCAGTTCCCGCAGATAGCTCTCCCCGGGGGCATGACATAACTTTCAAAGCCAACGCTTACCCTCACTGGGCCTTCCCTTCCTTGTAGGCATCTGCACGGCTGTTCCGTGAGGATCTGATTTGCTGACGTTGGCCTCTTTAGAGTAGTGGAGAAATGGGAGGCGAGAGATCTTCTGGGAGAAGTGGAATTCTGGACAAGGCCATTTATCACTTCACGTTACTAAGCCCAAAAAAAAAACCAAAAACAAAAACAAAGCCCACGCAACATTGGGAATTAGCAGTAACCACATTGTAATTGTCGCCATGCCTTTCTGTTAGGAATTTTGGGCAGCCCAGAGCTCCTATTCAGAAGATGGCACCCAGAGCTTGCACAAGGAACTCTATCATAATTCAAGTGAATTTTAATTTCAGTTTTGTATTGGACCTTAAAAAACTGTCAACAGAAACCGTCCTTCATCCAGAACTTCCACCAAGGGGCCCTGCACGTGGTGAGGGGTCAGGGATGTGGACTCGGCAGAAGGCAGTGCTCCCAAGAACAGGTTCTGGAGTTGTCTGCTCAGATGCACTTCCTCCTAAGTGACCTTGGGCGAGTTCCTCATCTATCCAAGTCTCTGTTTCTTTGTCTCTAAAACAGTGATAGTACCCACCGCCTACAGTTCCTTAAAAGCTTGAAATCCCGTGTCAAAGACTTAATGCAGGCAAGGCTGATGACAGTTTTCTGTACAGAGCTTGGGAGGGAATATTTGAGGCTTTGCAGTACCAGGGTCCTTCCCTTGCCGGCGTCGGGCTCTGCCCACTCCGCGGCTGTAGCGTGGAAGCTGCCACAGATGGCGTGCTCACCAGCATACGTGGCGATGCTCCAGGAACACGTTATTTTTAATAACAGGTGATGTGCTGGACTTGGCCTCCAGGCTCTAGCATGTCAATCCCTGGCTGCGCACGGGGCCTGGCTCATCTCGGGTTTTTAATAAATGCCAGCCGTGCTCGCAGCCGGGGACAGCCCCTTGACGGCGGTTCCCACGTGCCCCCGATCCGTGTCTTTAACAGAACGTCGAGGTCCTGGCCAGTCGGAGCAGCGCGTCGGAGCAGAGCCAGCTCGGGGCTGAAATGCATGTGAACGCTCTGCAGGAGGAGAACCAGAAGCTGCGGGAAAGCATCGAGGAGCTGGAGCAGTGTGTCGCCCGCCTGCGTGAGCAGATCACCGACATGAAGGGCGATGAGGCCAGAGCAAAGGAAATGCTCAAGAAGTGCGAGGTAAGGCTCGCCAGGCCCTCCCATCCAGGTCTGGCCGCTGCAGATCCTTCCTTTTTCCTGCGTCTGTGGATTTGGAAATGCAAGGGGATTTACTATCACGATTTAGTAGGAAAGGCGGAAGCAATGGTGACCACATCGTCTCGGCAACCCATTTCTGCTGTTCCTCTGTGATGGCGTAAATGGGAGGTGAGCTTGTCGAGGAGGTGGGAACGGGGCCAATGAGGTCAGAGTGGGGAACACCAGCGTCCCCGCTCACCCAGACGTCAGGCACCCTCCACTTTTTGACACTGGGTCGAGGCCATCCTAACACCACCATCAGACCCATTGTCAAGCATGATAATTTTTTCTTCTTTAACACATAGTTGGCGGATTTTGAAGCCGCACCAGTTTGCACCAATTACTTAGTTTGCCAGGTCTCTCGAAGTGGGAGGCTGTTAGCAAGAGACCCTCACACAGGGGGCAGTGAGACCTCGCACCGGCAGTCCAAGAGGGGACAAAAGCAGTGTAAGGGGAGATGTGTTCCAACAGGGCTTCCCAAAATGCTCCTTCATCAGAATCACCTGGAAGCCTTTTCCAGAACTGTGTGTGCCCACGTCCATTCCATATCTGCTCTTTCCGAAGCTCCGAACGTGAGGCTGAATATGTATTTTCAGTCACGCCAATGACTCGCATGTTCACCTCTGGCGGAATAGGGAGCTGCAGTCGGGCCCACACATCTGAGAGCATACCTGTCGTGTGCCACCTCGGGCCCACTGCTGGCTGTGTCCTTGGATGTCTCCCACATTCCTTTCACACCCCCGAGCCCGCTCTCTAGGCACAACACGCATCCGTGTGCACTCTGACCCCGTGTGTCATCGTAGAGCGAAAGCCGGCAATTAGAGGAGGCCCTTGTGCAGGCAAGAAAGGAAGAAAGAGAAGCCGTATCAGCCAGAAGGACCCTGGAGAGCGAGCTTGAAGACGTGCAGGTAAACACAGCTGTTATCTTTATTCCTCAGGAAAGACGCCGGAGAAGCAGCATGGGACAGACATGGATAGATCGCCATGGGTCCTCTCCTTGCAGGGAGTTTCCTGTAGTAAGAACCACACTGGGCTTCAGACCCTCCGTCTAGAGCTGTGGTCCTTAACTGGGGGACATCTGGCAGTGTCTGGTGACTTTCGCTTGTCACAGCGTGTCCCTGGCAGGGCTGGGCTGCTGCTGAAGGTGTTACAAAGACCAGGACGGCCCCCGCAGCCGTGATTATCTGGCCCCAAAGGGCAGAGGTGCCGAGGTGGAGAAATCCTGGTGTAGACATTAAAGAGCTTGACAGCTTTCCAGAGATAAAATATGAATTGTGTGAGAAGGCTGGCAGGCTTGGTCCCCGAGGCAGTGTGGAGTCAGCTCTCTGGCAGAAGCCAATTTCCTTTCTCCTCTGGGCAAGCATACTCCACACAGTGCGGCCCTTCAGAACAGCTATTAAAAGCAGGGGGAAGGCGGGGTTTTTTTTTTTTTTTTGGAAACTAGATAGCTATCTGTATTCGTAATCAGTAGATTCTTAGAAAATTAGCTTTTCCCATTTGAAGGTTACCAAGATTGTAGGAAGTACATTCCAAAAAAAAAAAGTCTGCACTGAAGTTCTAAAATGAGTTTGCACAGAGACCTCAGTGGGATGCAGGTATGTCCTTCCTCCTACCCTCTCTGGCTTTTAAAGAACCAGCACCAAAGCACTCCTCAGGCCGCTTCTGAGGAAGCCAAAGCCAGTGATTCTGTGCTATTGTCAAAGACGAGATTGTTAATGTTTTCTGTTGGGACCGTTGGATGGGGAAGGGGCATATGAAAAAGATTAGGGGCTGACAAAGTGGTTAGGGTTCAGATTTGAAAATCTGCCTAATGCCTGATTGCAGCTCAGACGCGGTCCCAGCTTCTGTTTGACCAAGCCTCTCATTCCTGTGAGCCCGTGGGCACACCTGCCACTCAGATTGTTAACAGGGACTAACAGGAGCCTTCCTCAGTCATATAGTAAAAGGCTCTGTGTCTTGACAGACGGTGGTCTTCAAGCTCAAGGGTACGACTCACTCTACCTCACTATAAATAACCTGTGTTTTGTGTTCTCTGGACTGATCTATTTCCCCCCTCTTTTTGTCCCAGTATTTTGGTTAGTGGGCTTATATTGCTGGTCTTGGAAATAGAGCCACTGTAGTAACAGTGTTTCACTCCTGACTCCCAGCTGCACAATGGGGAGTGTGTTACTTTTTGTGTGAGTTTGGAACACGTTTTCTCAGCAGTGGTGTATTGGAATACATTTCTGGGGGGACTGAGGAGGCAGAACATTATTCTCAACAGCATCTCTAAAATTTAAAGTATGTTAGAATTTTCTGGGTAACTCTTAACTCTAAATTTATGGGCCCTCGGTAGTCAGGAAAGTTGTGATTCCATCACAACGGGCTAGAATCTGCATTTAAAGTTAGGAATACTCCATCCTCACCCTGTGACTCTGACATACCAAGTCTTTAGACCACTTTTGGGGATAGGTATTAATTTCCAGCCACCAAGTTCTTATCATAGCCCTCATTGTGAAGCTGGACTATGAGACATACCCAGATGGGTATCTCTTCCTTGCCTTGACAGATCTTACTACCTTGCAATAGAGGCAAGCTACAAGAAATGTTTTTAAAATAATTTAGCAACATTTCTTCCAGGCAAATGTGTGAGTGTCAGGGTAGGGTATGTGGGGTTTTGGGCAGGGCCCCAGGCCCAGAGTGGGTGAGTCTGGTGTCTCCAGTGGCATAGGAGACTGGGGCCAGACAGGGAGCCCTGCCTCAGCCAAAGGGGAAGAAGCAGAGATGCACACACCATATGGAGGTTGACTAGAGCCAAGCCTGGCTTGGCTGCTGGCCTGGAGCCTCCAGGAGTGGGATCCAGGAGGAGGAAAAGAGAGGCTGGGGGGTCTGCAGGGGCACGGGTTGAGTTGGATCCTATAAGAAGTCACTCATGTCCTTCTGCATTTGTTGCTTTTCGGGAATTTACATTTTGAGGTACGTTATTGAGAGTTTTCTCCCACACATGGAACCATACCTTGCTTGCCTTACCCTGCATGCTCCATTTTGCCCTCCAGCAGCACAAAATCAAGCACAAACACAAATCCCAGGAGGTGACCCTGTTTCTGGTGTATGCCCAGCTGGACTGTGGTGGGACACACTCCTGCTAATTGCCTCCACACTGAACTTCTGATTACCTTCTTTTTACCACCTTCTTCTCTCCCAATAGCTTTTGTTGACCTTGGTTTCCCACAGCAGTTAACTTCAGCAGCCCAGCTGTGTTGGCTGGTTCTGAGTACAGTTGTCCTGGCAGAGTAGAAGAGCCAGAAGGCCTCCACAGGTGGCTTTTTGGCCCCAGGTCACAGGGCTGGCCAGCAGCATGGCTGGTTGTGCTTTGCAAACCAGGAGTGCTCCAAGTGATTTGGGAGTGTTTTCAAGAGGCCTGAGTTGGTACGTGTGAGAGCAGCTTGTAAACTGTTAAGCACTGTACAGATATAAACCGTCGTCCTTCCAACAGCATCTGCGGGGACATAAGACACAAGTCCTAAGCAGGCATGTAGCAACTCACATTTGGCCCTCAGTCCCTGAGACCATTTTCTAGATGATCTAGCCCAGGTCTGGGTCATGCTGCCCCTTTCTGAGCTCTGCCCCTTCTTAGTATCTTTATGTCAGTGGCCCTAGCACTCAGCCATTTAAAAAAGCCAGCGCGATCTTTCTAAGATACTTTAGGATTTTGTTTTAGAGTTCTGTGTTTTTACATAAAGAAGGTCAGGCTCTGTGACCAGGTGAGGTGAGAGCTTCAGGGCATCCCAGGGAAATAGTGCACCCAAGATAGTTTCATTTTATGGTAAGTGCTAGGATTTGGTGCTGAATCACTAATCAACACTCATTTGCACTTTTCTAACTAGCGTCTTTTCCATTTCACCCTACTACTCATCAAGTTTATCTCCCTGTGGATTGCCAGATTCCTTTTTCTTCTGTGTATGAGTCCAACCCAGGATTCTGTTGATTATAACTCCTTCTACCCAGGTGGACTCTTGACCTGTGGGTCAACGTTCTCTTTCCTCATGGATTCATTTTTGGGTATTTTAACTAAGATGCATCTGCAGAGCAGAGGGAATTCTAGAATGTGAGGTGTACTGCTGTATAGTACAGGATGTAAATGGCCACATTGATTCAGGTTTGTCTGATGTACATCTTTACCTCTCTTTGCAAGCACGAACTTGGAAATTTCATGTTTTCAGACACTGTTCTTAATCACTGGCCCGAGCAGCCTTGGCCATCTTCTGTATTTCTATAATAAATCCTTTGTCTGTCCCTTTATTCTCATGCGTGTTTTTGGCTGAGTCAGCTTTGCATTTGGGTCCCTGAATTTCAGAACCAACCATATCCTTGTGTCTTGTGATGGCTTTGCTTCGGTCCTATTCCTTATCACCCATGTAGCAGGTCTGATTGCTTTGAGGTGTTACTGCAGAACTCCCTCTGTTGCCTGTTCCTGGGGCTGACCCAGTAGTTAGGTGACTGCACTGTCCCTTCCCTGCCGTCTGCAGAGAAATCTGAGTCGGGCCACCCAGGAGCAGAAGCAGTTGTCTGAAAAGCTCAAAGATGAGACAGAGCAGAAGGAGCAGTTAAGGAGACTGAAGAACGAGATGGAGAATGAACGGTGGCACCTGGACAAGACCATCGAGAAACTGCAGAAGGAGGTGAGGGCCAGGGGAGCGAGAGATGTGGGCAGAACACCTGGGCTGGGGCCCAGTGCTCTCTGAGGACGTGTTGAGAGCGATGGAAGCCTGCCCTTTTGTCTAAGCAGGCATGCATCAGATTCCCAGGTACCCTGAAGCAGCTCTTTGGACTTGTTGAGAATCCCAGTTAAAGGGAAACTGGTCTAGAAAATGCCAGTATCCTCTGGATTCTGGGCCCAACTCCTCTCAGCAATTCCCCAAAGAAGCCTGGCACGTAAGGGCAGACTTAACAAATGTTACCTGATTCAGAACCCTGGGTAACGTCTGCATTTGCACCCATCTTTCTTGTCCAGGAACATGAAAGGCAGTTTCAAAGTCTAGTAGTTGTTACTTCTTATCTCTGCCCACCTCTGCCCTAAAATCCTCAGAAGGGGGGGAAGCACAGAGCTGAGGGGCTCCCCCCCATTCTAGGAGCCAATAGGAATGCCTGCCATCTTCTGATACCTACTGTGTACCAGTCACTGTACTAGCTATTTTGTAACTGGAATTCTGTCCCTTATGTATTAATTCTGACAACATCACTGTAAGGTAGATATGATGATTCCAGTATTTCCCATGAGGACACCACAGAGGCCCAGTGGGATTTAAGTACATGGCCCAGTTACATAGCTGGTAAGTGGCAAAGCAAGTAAGGGCGTGACCCTGGGCTACGTATCTAGCCATGAAAGTTGTGCTTGTTCACTCCTCGTTGCTGCTTCCATGTTACAGGTGACTAAGCCTGGACAGCCCATGACCAGGTGCTTTGCAAAATCTTTGGGGAGGTTGTAGAAGGAAGAGGAAGAGATGTATTGTTTCGATGGAACCCAAACCTGGTTCTCAGGCCCCAGCTGGAGCGTCACAGGGTGGGCTCACACCCATGTCACTCCTTCCAGATGGCTGACATTGTCGAGGTGTCCCGCATATCAACCCTGGAGCTCCAGAACCAGCTGGATGAGTACAAGGAGAAAAATCGCAGGGAGCTCGCAGAAATGCAAAGGCAGTTGAAGGAGAAATCCCTGGAGGCCGAAAAGTCACGTGTGACTGCCATGAAACTGCAGGATGAGGTAATACCTGGCCAGATCGGTTCCTGGTTTCCCCCACCCCACCCCCGCTTTGTTCAAAGTATCCGGGGAGACTGCCTTGAACCTCTTCTAGGAGAGGCTCAGGGTATATTGGAAGACAGCATCTGGACGTGATTCTTCAGTGTTAACCCTTAGGATCGTCACATGGGGCAAATGGCATTCAAAGACCCAAAGTCCCAGGGCCTCTGGGGTGAAATTGACATAACTTTAAAGTTACCATTTTCTCGATTAATTCCAAGAGTTTCTGACTAAAATGTTTAGCGGGCATTTATGGAGCACCACTGGTATACCCAGCTGTGTCTTAAGGATTGATGTATACTAGTGTTTTAATTTAACCCCAGAACACGAATTATAGTAAACAATTGCTTTTTGACGTTCATTTATAAAACATAGACTTTTATGAGAGCGCGTGTGGTGGACGTGAGCTTCGGGACAATGGAAATGGGGACAAAAAGAAATCTTCAGGAATTTGTGAGTCCTGAAATTATTAAACCATATTTTTAGTTTTATACTTAGAAATAGTAGAGCGAAGTAGCTCCAGTGTTCGCTTCCTTCAATCTTGACTTAGAAAGAACTGAGAAAAGTCATGGGAATGTTTTTGATTATTTTAATGGAAAGCTGAAAGTTCTAAAACACGAGTACGGTGTGTGTCAATTTTTCGTTATGCTTCTTGCCAGCTGGATCACCTCGAGCGACTTACCCCAATCTTCTGAGCATCTGTTTTTACCTCTTTGAAAACACACCCAATAACGATGATTTAATAATGAAATGAGATAACGCGTGAGGCTGGAGAGCTGAGGGTTTGTATATCCTGGACACGAATGTTAAGGTTTTTTTTTTTTAGAGTCCAAGGTTTTGCTTTTTTTCATAAGCAGGGCCAAGAGCATCAAGATTCCACAGGAAAACAAGTTTTTCTTTAAAAACAAACTTTTAATATCTTTGATGATCAAAGAAATGTCGCCCATGAGTCAGTGCTGGTACTGTGTGAAAGAACAAAGGATATTCATTACAGACGTCTAGAACGTTTCTGAAAGGATCCTGATAACAGGTCCCCTCTGCTGCAGGGGCGTATGAAGGCAGGGCCCCTGTAACTGAAATTAGCGTAGTGGCATCCAGTTCTCTCTGGCATTAAAAGAAAGTCATTTGTATATCTACGGCAGATGGGAGGGGAGATTCGGATATTTGCCAGAACACCAACAAATACAGGGTTCTGCTGCTTTGATTTCAGAAAAATCACAGGGTCACGATGACCCCTGCAAAGTGCTTCCTGTTGCTTTTTGTGTAATGGTTATTATTCTGCCAGAATCTTCGGATTGGAAGGCACTTTAGAGATCCTCTAGTTAGATGAGGAAACTGAGATCCAGAGAGATTAGTGATGGCCACAAGGAGACCAGTCTTGTGTATAAAAGAGCAGTCATTCAAAAAAAGATCCCTCATGATGAAAACGAAAGATGGCTCTTCCTCGATTTTTGTCAGGGGTGCAGCCCTGTGAGACACAGCTTCCATTGGAATGGCAGAGTGGACACCTCATCATTCTGGAAGGAAAGTGCAGGCAGATACTGCCCTGCATCGAGCTATGGAAGTCGGTGGGGTTGTTGGAATTGGCAAGCCAGGGTCACCGTGGATCCTCGGAAAACTCAAGCTCACCTCTGTTCATGGCCGCCAACCCTGTGTTTTGGTTGAGCCGAGATAAAGCTGTCCGTTAACATAAGGGGGGCAGGCGGTCTGTCCTCGGGGAAAAGTACTGCCTTCTTTGCTTTAAGAGCAATAGACATTTGACCTGTTTTGCCTTTGGTGTGGAGCCAGAGGAGTTCTGAGGAAGGTTATCTCTAAAGAATGAAGACTTGAGTTCACTGTTGGTTTTTTGTCTGAAACCCACTTAGCGAAGGGCAGTTCTGACTACTTAAAGGGATCACTAGTGTAGCTAGGAGTGCTTGTGATCCCAGACGCTCTCCACATCCACTGGGGCATGGCCTCATTGAGTGCTCTTTTTGACAGAGCCCTCGGGAGTTGTTAGGACGGACTGTTAGCACCACACCAGACCAGGGTCTTTATCTGGAGAGGCCTTCTTCAGGCTGTGCTGTTCTCACAGAAAGGTCAGGTGTTCCTGTCAGCTTCCAGGAACCTGTTTCCTAAAGTCTTGCCACTGGGCTTATGAAACTATCCTAACCTGGTGGGCACCCCTGCAAGACTGTCTTTGAGGCGTCCCCAACTCCTCTGTGAAAATCACCCCCAAAGGACGCCGTGCTCTGATGGAGTTTGCCCCTCACTGTCATCAAGGAACTAAAGCCCCGGACTATTTAGTTATTCTGAAGACTGCTTTCACCCAATACCCTGTACCTGCTCCAAGTGGGAAGGAAGTTGGAGACAAAACACGTAGCCCTGGTCTTCACTGAATCAATCCACGCAGATGTTTGAGGAACACCTACGTGCAGTGTGCTGAGGTGGCTGGTCCCCTCAGGGACCTTCCAGAGAAGTGGAAAACAGGGACGACCCCTCACGGGTCAAGCTCTTCTTTGCACTTTCTTCAAAGCTGTTAGTTCAGTGCCACCTTGTGGATGAAAAAAACACTGTGAATTATGGCAGCGGAGGCAGGATTTTCTTCTGTAGAGCAGATGGTTTCACCTCCTATGTCTGTTTGTATTATTGGATTTGGTGCCTGTGAGTTGTTTTGGGGTCATTAATTTTGTTTTTTATTTTCCCCTCATTTTGACCCTCCATTGAGATGATGCTGGTACGGGTGGGTAATAACCTGCACTGGGGAAGCACTTACCTAGTTCAGTGACTTTCAAGTGTTTTTGGCCGTGACCTATATACTAAGAACTCCACCTCGCATCGCAACCCAGTAATATGTGCATCCATACAGATGTATGAGGGTCTAATACAGAGGTTTCACAAAACAATATTTTGTGATATTGTATAAAATATCAGATATAACTCTGATATTTTCTGTTCTATTAAATTTCAAAATGCTGGCCCACATGTACAAAATTGAATTTATAACCCCGTGGGTTGCTCCCTATAGCTAGGAAGCTGCTGCTTTTTAGAGGAGAAGAAACTGAGGCCCAGAGGGAGCTGGGACTGGCTCAGGGTCTTCTGGACTGCAGGATATGGGCACCCCCTGATAGTTTGTGGGGTCAGCCTCTGTGCTGTCTGTCCAGATGCTCTCCCGATGCAGCCCAGGTAACCACCCAGCCCTCCTCCTAGGTGCGCATGATGGAGGAGGAGCTACGGGACTACCAGCGAGCTCAAGACGAAGCACTCGCGAAAAGGCAGCTTCTGGAGCAGACGCTGAAGGACCTGGAGTACGAGCTGGAGGCCAAGACTCACCTCAAGGATGACCGAAGCCGACTCGTCAAGCAGATGGAGGTCTGTAGGCCATGCGGGTGTGAGCCGGGGGCTGTGCAGGGTGAGCGCGGGGCGCAAGACAAGTGGCCTCTCTCTGCACACCCAAGCCTTTGGGATCCTTCAGTTTTTATTCCCTGAAACAGCCAGACCTGAGTAAAGTCATTTCTTGATTTGAGGAAGAAGCTGGTAGTTCATAGACTCATAAGATGTCAGAGCTAGAAGGAGTGATGGAAACAGTTTAGCACAGTGTCCTCTTTGTCTTGAAGAGGAAGCAAAACCGAGCCCCAAAGAGGCCGGGTGGCTTTACGTAAGGGCACATAGACGGTGCATTTTCTGTTGGTTGCTTTGGGAAGTGCTTCCAACTACAGAGGCCACAAGACTGCGGAAGATCTAGGGAGGGGCTGAGCTGTGCCTCAGGCCGAAACCACCTACCTCCTGGGAACAGCCAGCTCCTTTGTCACACCACACACTCCATTCGTGTCTCCTGACTCTGGCCCTTTTTTTTCCTGACAGATGGTCCAGCTTTGCCAAAGCCAGCAGCAAACTGTGGCTCAGTTCATTTTTGGATATACCACATATATGTGGTCTAAGACAGTGTGTCAGAATGTGCTCACTGGGGTCACCACCTGGGAGTGGCCTGTTCACCGCGTGAAAACACTACACGGTAGAAAAAAGGGAATTGAGTAACAGAATTGAAATATGAACAAGCACCTGAGCAGGACAGGACGAATCTTAACATCAGTCCACCTGAGCTTATGGAAAAGAATAATCCTCAAGAACAAACCCAGCCCCAAACCAGAACACCCTCCCCCTCGCCGGGAGAGGGAGAGAATCAGTTCCCACACTTATGGGAGAAGTTAAAATTCTCAAGGTTTTGATAAAAAGACAGTGCTCAAGGACAGGGAGAGATGGTTTGAATTTAAAGTCAGTGGAATGTCTGGTTCAATTTTGCAAATAAATAAAAATAACTTTTAAAACCTCTTTGTAGCAAATTCCATCTAGGGAGGGATGTTTCAGCCATTGAAGATTTTATTAGATGGGCCCTTTTTAGACACTAGAATAACCTGGCATGGTTTTGTTGTCCTTTTGTAGGATTGCTGTGTATTTTGCTATTGTTCCTATTTCTGATCTCATTAGAGAGGGTCATTTTAAGGCAAGCTAAGGTCAACCCAGTTAACTAGGAAGTGATTTGTCAAGGACCCAGACAGTCTGGTTCGAAGCAAGCTAAAGCCGTGTTGGGCAGCTGTGTGAGAACCTTTGGTGTAATGGACCCCTGACCTGGGCCCCTGAATACTCCTGGTGGGTTTTGAATAGCACAGACTTCAGACAGGAAGAGAGGCCTGTGAGGAGGTGCTTTTAGTTAAGCATTGGGTTGTCATCTTCTAGAACATTCTGACTGAAAGAACATTTCCTTCTGCCAGCTCAAGGTCTAGAAGCAGTGACATGATGGAGTGTCCCTTGCCCCTGGGTACTATTTTAGATATTTCTTCATTAATGACAAAATGAACAGCTCTCAAGGCCCTACCGCTGAGCAGCACGCTGCAGGAGCGTTGCCTCCCCTCAGAGGCAGCTGGGAGGACTGTCTCGCTGTGACAAATGTCTTGCCTTTTCCTTCGCTAGCACTTAACCAATTAATTCTCAGGACTCAAGAGCTCTCTCAACACCAGGCATTTTCTGTAAATGCAGAAACTCAGGTGGCTGTTTTATGTAAATGCGGCACTTGGGGATCCTTGTTGAGATCTGCCAAGAGCCGGAGCTGGCCTCGAAGGCGTCAGGGACCACAGGACAAATGAGACAGTCTGAGCAGAGCCCGGCGTTCCATTCCAACTTCGTCTTTGAGCCTTTCCGCTCACCGGAGAGAGCTTTCTGGGTTCCTATAGATGTTGTTCACCAGCAGGGAAGGCATTCACAGACATTTACTCATTCACGTGAGTAAGTCTGATTTTTGGCCCTTTTGGAGACGTCCATAGCTTGTCAGCCCTACTTTGACGACTGTAGAGACGGTGTTTTTCCAGTGTTTTTCTGCAGACTCGTGTTTCAAAACTCACGATGATGATTGCTTTTTAGCAGGTATGGTGCAGAGTTAATCCAGACATGACACATGGGCGGGTGACAGGAGAAACTTGTGCACAGACCTCACAAGCCCCTATTGCTAGGTAGGGTGGTTTGTGTTAGAAGCGTCTTTTTTCCTACATGCAGCTACTTTGACATGCTTTTCTCTTAGCACTCAGTGGTGTTAAGCGAGGAGCCAGCCCGGAAGACAGAAATGACAATTCTTCTGGAATTATGGGGCCACCACTGTCCCTGTGCTCCTCAGGTGCAGATTTGGGACTGACTACATAATGCATGAAGTGTCTGAGGTGCCCTAGAAAAGAGGCAGGGGCAATAGTACGTCATAGCCTTTATTCCTGCAAGGCTCTTGGAAACTGAGCAGGAAGGAGGGAAAGCATTGTCCGGAGCTTGGAAAAAAAATTTTTTTTTAAAGATTTTATGTATTTATTTGACAAAGAGAGAAATCACAAGCAGATAGAGAGGCAGAGCAGAGAGAGAGGGGAAGCAGGCTTCCTGCTGAGCAGAGAGCCTGATGCGGGATCTGATCCCAGGACCCTGGGATCATGACCTAAGCCAAAGGCAGAAGCTTAACCCACTGAGCCACCCAGGCACCCCAGAGCTTGGAATTTTAAAGAAATGTGTCTTGGATGATATCTAAGCTCCCACATTGCCTTTTAACAGGTAACCTGTGGAACTTAGGCTTAGGTAGATCTTTGTAAAGTTACTGATTCCTAAGGGGGAAAAAAAGATGGGTAGGAAACAGGCTAAAATGTCCTTAAGGCTTATGTTAGGTTTGGGGTAATATTTTTTCTCCTTTCACAAATTTTTGAAATGCACAATTACATCTTCCATTACGAAAGCAATACCACACGGTTTTTCTGACAGTCTGAGAAGGACATGCGTCCTTTCCCCGAGCTCTGGTGATAACTCAGCTCTGATCTGCCTTGGAGGTTTGCATTCCCCAGGGCCATCCTTGCACCCCACCTGGGTTAGTGCGAGTTCCGTAATACTGTGTTGTGTCTCCCTTCTTTCTTAGGACAAGGTGTCTCAGCTGGAGATGGAACTGGAAGAAGAAAGAAATAACTCAGATTTGCTGTCTGAGAGGATCACTCGGAGCAGGGAACAGGTACTATCTGTAGTTGAACGATGAACGGATTGCCCTTCCTGGAAAAGGAAACGTGAGAGGCAAAAAGCAAAGGATTCAGCTAGAGGAGGGAAGAAAAGTTCTTGCCTTATAGAAATGATGGAAGACTGGGTAGTGTTCCCCGTAGGAAGCCATGAAGAGGGAGGTTTAATATATAACATAAAGCGCACAAAGTGGAAGTTTCCAGAATGGTTATGGGTAACAATCTCTTAGCCCTAATAGACAAAGTGCTTTTAGAGCAGAGGCTCTAAGAATCATCAGTCCAACAAGCAACTGTGTGAAACTGGGTAGCTGGTACGGTGTTAGTGCTATGGGAGTGGAGGATATGATTGTCCTTTAAGAACTTTACCAGCTAAATAGCAGTACAGACACCTATGAAGCCTTCATAGTACAGTAACCACCTCTCCCGAGTGAATGCTTTCTGTAGTTCTCAGAGGTGAGGAATTCTACTTCCCTTCGATCTGTACAGCAACACTGGGAGGCAGCTGGGGACAGTGCTAGCTGTCCTCACACTGGAGTTAATAGAACTAATTTTCCAAACGACACTCCATGTAATCTGATGGTTTTTGAATTTTGTTTCCATTTTTTAATTAAAAAAAAAAAAAGAGTTTAGAGCGGCTGAGTTCTGTCCTGGGGATAGCAAGTCCTGTCACTGGAAAGCGGTGGTCCCCTTAACTGGCTGCCTTGCCCAAACCATTTGACAGATCACATGGGGAAACATTATGGGACAGGATTCAGCACACTGAGTGACAGTTTTGAAAAGAACCTGTATTCAGTAATCTCAGCTTTCCATATCCATGATACCCCTGGCTATCCGTAGAAACCTCTGAAAGGATGTATTTTCAAGACAACTTAGTTGTGTACTGGGCTCTGAAAATGGTACCAGAAAAACCATACATAGACATTCAGAAGACTCTTCACCTCTTGATTTGTTTTGGGCACTTTTTTTTTTTTTTAGAGATTTGATTTATTTATTTGAGAGAGAGAGAGAGGAGATGGTCAGAGGGAGAAACAGACTCCCTATGGAGCTGGGAGCCAGATGTGGGACTCAATCCCGGGACTCTGGGATCATGCGAAGGCAGATGTTTAACTGACTGAACCACCCAGGCACCCTCAGGCACTTTCTTAATTCAACAAAGCAAACTAAACCTAAAAGCCTTGGGTGATGCTGAGTACAAATGAGGAAATTTTATTTATTTTATGAAGAATTAAAATTAAAAATCTGAAATACACATTAATTTGGGCAAAATCTTCTATATCCAAAGAAGCTCTTTCTTCTGGTCGTTCTGGACTTCGCCACATGCCCCCACCTTTGCCTCACCTCAGGACAACCAAGAACCGGAAATTCTAATGCCTGGAGACGATGCCATTCCAAGATGGCAGCCCCTCATCAAAGTTGAAGGGGAATCACTGGCTTCTTTTCCCTCAGCCATTGTTTCCCTATTGACAGATTTTTTTTTTAAGATTTTATTTATTTATTTGAGAGAGAGACAGGATGAGCGAGAGAGAGCATCAGAGGAGAGAGGTCAGCGGGAGAAGCAGACTCCCTGCCGCGCAGGGAGCCTGACGTGGGACTCGATCCCAGGACTCCAGGATCACAACCTGAGCCGAAGGCAGTCCCATAACCAACTGAGCCACCCAGGCGCCCTATTGACAGATTGTTTGCAAACGAGTAAGATAGTCATGCTGTTTGGCTTCTGAGAGTGGAGAAATTCAGTCCGAGGCTCCATCCTCTCTTCCCTGAGTGCAGCTTCAAGTTCTGTCTGCATGTTCCAGTGCTGTGCTAGTCCCGTCCTCCTTGAGCGGGGCACAGCCCAGCAAGCAGGAGCTGCAGAAGCTTAGGGAAAGTCTGTCATGAAAACCTCAAGTCCAGATGGATTGCCCAACCTTGACCCTTGAGCCCTTGTACATTCTTACTCAAGTCTGCATCTGTTAGGTTCTTTCCCTGGTATAAAAGCTGCTTGGTGACACGTTCCTGCCAGCTCCTGCCAGCGTGGCTGAGCCCCCATGGTGCCACAGTGCATTTCAGGATCTGCTAAGCACTCATGATAACAGAAGTAGCCATTAATTTGTTTTGCTAATGCTGCCTGTGGCTTACGGAGGGAGGAAGGGTGGCAAAGTCTGTCATCCTGTCAATAACCAGGCAGGCAAAACAGACTTTCCAAGGCCCCTGTTTGACACCAAAAACAAAACACAGACACACTGGAACAGAAAGTGGTTGCCTTGCTCAGCTCAGCTGATGGCCCAACCTGATGAAAACTGATCGCTCAGACCGGTTTCTTTGTCCTCTCACCTGAGCTCGTGAGGCATAGAACTGCTCTCCGTGATGTGGCCAAGGTCCTTTGAAGATCCTTTGAGCCCAGAACTTGAAGGAAGCCCAGGGAGGAGGTTAAAGGAACAAACTTGGTCTCCTGGAAAGAGCACAGGCCTGTGAGTCCCGGGTCTGACTCCTGCTCCAGCCCCATGGGGTCCCAGGGCGGTCCCAGTGTCTCTGAGCACCATCTCTAATGTCTGTGAAAGTGCATCTCTTCTCCAGATTCCAGCGCTGAGCTCCTCTGACGAGGCTGCGTCTAACCAAGGGTCTGAGTCCCTTGAAGTCCCCAGCCTTCCCTGTGTCTGAGGTGCACGCCCAAAGGGAGAGTTCCACAGCCTCTAGCCTGTTCGCCCTGTTGGTTCTGTTTTCTCCTTCTATTTCCTTTCTTGTCCCTGCCCTCCCTGAGGTGGGGGCGGGGGGTAAAGCTTGGTGCCTGTCGTAGTGGAGGAAGGGAGTGTTGTGGTCACCTTGTTGTAGGAATTGCTGAAACAGTTACCTTACCCCAAGGTAAGGCCTGTCTTCTGGCCTCGGCTGCCTCTGGATTTGTGAGGAAGGGTAATGTAGCGAGCTGGCTGACCAAATGCCTGCCTCGCAAGACAGCGTTTAATTCTTACCCAACTCTGAGGTCAATCTGAGACTTCTTGTTTGCCTCGTAAAGTAAAGGTTCCAAGGAAGGGCCCTGGGTACAGACAGTCGGGCCCTATCTTGGATCCGCTTAGGTAAATTTGTAGGGCCACATACCTACTTCCTTCCTGCCAGAATCAGAGAAAGGGGAAACTTACAAACTTAAGACCCCCGTCTCCTCTTCCTGCCAAACACCAACCTGTGATGCTTCCTTAACAGGGACATTCCCTAAAGAACAGGAAATTGTTCCGTCTGGTATCTCCAACCTGATTTACAGTGTCAGCCCGGAAGGCTCAAGCAGACTGCTTCCAGGCACTGTAAAGGGAATGAATGGGGAGTTAGACTTTTTGGATCTTGCTCTTTCAATTGAAAGGGGAAAAGTTTATAGCTCTTACCTAAACTCTGCTTTCTTATAAGCTCCCCTTCTGAATTTTGCTTTCCCCGAACATCTCTCTCTCTCTCTCTCTCTCTCTTTTTTTTTTTTCCTAGTCTTAGTGGCAGGGCTTAGGTAGAAAAGCTAGGGGGAAAAATTTTTTTCACAATATGAGCCAACCCCTTTCACAGACTTTTAGATCTGGCATGACCTCCAAGTTCCTCTCCCCAGACTTCTCATGCAGTGCGCAGGAGATCTGAGGCCCAGGGCACACCCCCCACCCCCCGCCCGTGATCCGGCTGGCTTGCACAGGTGGTCAGTTGCAGAGCTGGTCACAAATCTCTACTGGTGCTCTGAAGACCTACCATGTACACAAATAGCATGGTGGGGAGGCTGCAAAAATGATCAGGTTGGCCCCTGTCCTTGAGTGCTGTGTTTGGAGAGATGGAGGATGCCCCCTCAAATGGATAATTAATAACAAAAAGCAACAGATACTAAATGCCAAGTGCAGGATTCAGGCAGCTCACGAAGGAAAGGCCATCATAGCAAGGGATTATGGTGGGAGTTCTTAGAGGAAGGTGAACCTGGAGTTAGTTTTGGTTTGTTTGTTTGTTTTTAAAGATTTTATTTATTTATTTGGCAGGTAGAGAGCCAGGCAGGGGGCAGGGGGGCGGGGGGGCGGTGGAGAAGCAAGCTCCCTGCTGAGCAGAGAGCCTGATGCTGCGCTCAATCCTAGGACCCTGAGACCATGACCTGAGCCTAAGGCAGAGGCTTTAACCCACTGAGCCACCCAGGCGCCCCCTGGAGCTAGTTTTGAAGAAAGGGTAAGATTTAGACAAACCAAGGAGTGGGACGGGAATCCTAGACAAAATGGGTAGTGTGAATTAGGCTTGGGAAGTAGGATATTTACAGTGTTTGGCGGACAGTGAATGGACTACTGTAACTTGATCGGGTTCCTGGTTTCCATAAGGGAATAACAGGGGGTAAGTTTGGAGAGGCAGGTAGAGGGTATTGAATGGACCCTATCCTGAAGACAGTGGGGAGCCATCGAAGACTGTGGAGCAGACAGTGAAACATACACAGAAGCATACATTAGAAGATTAATGTGGTGGGGTTGGGAGTAAGAACAGCAGAAAGGGAGACCGAGAGCTGTTCCCTGGGACAGAGAATAGAAAAGGCAGTTATGGGGCACCGGGTGGCTCGGTGGGGAGCCTACTTCCTCCTCTCTCAGCCTGCCTCTCTGCCTACTTGTGATCTGTCTCTGCCAAATAAATAAATAAAATCTTAAAAAAAAAAAAGAAAAGAAAGAAAAGGCAGTTATGAGATCAAACATCCTATCTGTTGTATGTTTTTCCCCCTTCTTGTGCATATATTTGACACTTAGTAAATGCTGGGCACATTATTTGTGAGTTCTAGCTGTTCTTTTCCGTACATGCTCAGGATATAATTTTTTAGACTGATGGATTCAGGAAATCCTAGTGGGAATTTTTTTCCCCCAAAACTTTCTGGATGTTTAAATTTTGTTTCTAAATCTGGCTAACATGGAGAAGGCACGGATTTAGACGTGATAAAATCGTGTCTTACTCTGTAAAACAGAGGTGAAACGTATTTGTTTTCTCACCCAAATGTGGTTTCAAACCTGATTCAGGAGGTTTCTGACTTTTAAGTTGA